TCCCACTCATCACTTCCCTCTACCTAATCCAAGGTAATGCTAGTCTTCCGTAGTGCCCCCCACCTTATTGTGAATTAGTATCCACATATTAGAGAAAACATTTGGCCTTTGGTTTTGTGGGATTGGCTTATTTTGCTTAGCATGATATTGTCCAACTCCTATCATTTAAGGCAAATGTCATAATTTTACTCTTCTGCAAATCAAAACTTCTCTAAGATTTCATCTCACTCCTGTCAGAATGGTAATTATCAAGAATACAGGCAACAATACACATTCGCAAGGATGTGGGGGAAAAGGTACACTTGCATTGATTTTTTTTGTTGTTCTTTTTTTCTCTTGTCTTTTAGGTGCTTTCTTTTTTCATCATAGCCTTCCCAGTTTCTAATAGGAAGAAATAGCAATAATAATAATAATAATAATAATAATAATAATATTATATTATTGCTCATATTTTTCATTTTTATATAATGTAGAATGACTTTTAATATCTGGCCTACTCTATCTCTCTCTTTCTATATATTTCCATATATATTCATGGATTTATGAAGTATATACACATATTTCCATATATATTTCTCTCTCTGTGTCTATATGTTCTTTATTTAATATGAAATTTTACATATATCTCCTCAAAAATTTTGCCTCATATTCTCTCTCTCTCTCCATTTTTTCTGACACTCCATTTTTATAGAGGTTAGATCTTTGATTCTTACATTTACTACTTTGGATCTTGGGTCAGTTTTAAAAACCTTTTGTCTTTGGTATTTAGTTTGTATATTTTCTACTGACTTTTCTTCAAATGTACTGATCCTTTCTGCTTCATTTTCTAATTCTTCTCAATAATATTCAAAAATCATACATTTCAGACTTTATCTTTTCTCATGCACGTGTTTATTGCCATTAATTTCCTAGTCAGCAGTGTTTTAGCAATGCTCTGCAAATATTGATCTCTTATATTATTATTTTTATTAAGTTTATTAAAATTTTTTTCTTGAGATTTTATTTTTTGTTTAAATATTATTTATTTAGGAATCTGTTTATTTCCAGATGTTTACAGATAAAGTAAATAAGTAGATCTATATAATGGAGTTTTACTCAGTCATAAAGAAGTGTGGAATTATAATTATGGCTTTTGCAGGTAAATGGGTGGAGAACATTATGCTAAGTGAAATAAGCTAGACTGAAAAAAGTCAAGGATCAAATATTTCCCTCATATAAGCAAAATAAGATGAATAAAGAGGAAACCCCATGGAAAAGGAAAAAGATCAATGAGTAATGTAATCAATGGATTGAGGAGTTAGGAGGAAGGATTGAAAAAAAAAGCAACTGTAGAATGAAATTGACTAAATGATGCTATGAGCATATATGAATGCACCAGTGAATTCCACCCTTATGTATACCTATAAAACAAAAAAAAAATAAAAAATACTAAGTGAATAGAAGGAATAACAGTTAGTATAGATGTAGAGGAATGAGGGAGATGGAAGAGGGGAGGGAAGTGGGGGAGCATTGTATATATGATTAGGTTATAATGGTCCCCACTAATATGTAAAACTATAATGTACTCATTAAACAATCAATCAATAAAAACCTAAAAAAAAACCCTAAAAAAATAAAAAAAAGAACATCAATATTAAGTTTCTCACCACAGATACAAAAGCATAGAATTTGGGTTCATGCAGTCTAACTTCAAAACTTGTAGACTTACATTGAATTCTCCCTCCCTTCTTGAAGTTAAAATATGCAAATTATGACCATTGCACAGCTCATATAAAGTTTTTAGATTTTTTAGGACTTTTGCAGCAATGTTTCAATTTTGGGATAAAGTAGGGAGAGGAAGTTATTCCTGACATGTGAGACTAAAAGAACAGGGTCAAAACTACTTCTGCCAGGCACTGTGGTGCATACTTGTAATTCCAGCAACTTGGGAGGCTGAGGCCAGTGGTTAGCAAGTTTGAGGTCAGTCTCAGCAACTTAGCAAGATGCTCAGCAACTTGATGAAACCTTGTCTCAAAATTAAAAAGGAAAAGTAGTAGGGATGTAGCTCAGTGGTAAGTGTCCCTGGGTTCAATCCAAAAAAATATAAATAATAATAAACATAATTATAACAACCAATCATAAATATAATTAAGAAATTAATAAAATAAAACATTATTCTGACAATTCTCAGGAAATTTATTCATTTCTCTAAACTTTATATTTTCATTTTTAATTCCTTAATAGATATAGATAACTTTGTATATTTTTGGTGACATAATTATGTGGTAACAACAATAACAAAAAAAAATCTGATACATATTAGACCCTCTCCTTATTCTTCAAGTGAAAGGATAGTTTGAAATCATAGTTTTAGGTGTATTAGTATGAGTGAACTGGTCACTGTGAACTTATTCATTGGATGTTTATGGTATCCTAGATTTATTATGTTAATTTTCCTTCATTTTATCAGAGATTTTTTGTTTTTTATTTTTTAAATGAAAAATAATAATCATACATATTTATGGTGCTTAGAATCACATAGAACTATTTAAATTTTCTTTTCTTATAGAGGTATTTCTTGTTGTATAATCTATTCATTTTCCTCTACATTTTAAGAATATTTCATTTTTTTATCTACCTCTGATCTTGATTTATTTTTCTAAAATGCAAAGCTCTATGAATCCTCTGGTGTGTGTGTTTGTGTGTGTGTGTGTGTGTGGCTTGTGTTATATATGAGTAAATTAGATAAGTCTATCACAGAATCAATTCATTTCAGGGTCTATAAAGTATAAAGTGTATTACTCCCTTTATGCATGAATTAACTTTAAAACAACCAGTTGTGGCAGTAAGATATGGTGAATAGTGGTAAGAATTTTCAATTAAATTATAAGGCAGAGTACTATTTTTAGTTTTTGTTCTTGCTAGACACACATGTCAGTAGACCACATTTTTATATATTATACACACATAGAATAACTTGTTCCAATTAGGGTCCCACTATTGTGGTTGTACATAATGTGGAGTCACACTGGTGGTATATTCACATATAAGGATAGGAAAGTTGTTTTATTCATTCTTCTGTCTTTCCTGTTCCCATCTCCCCACTCTTCCCTTTGTTCCTCTTTTTCTAATCCAATGAACTTATATTATTCCCCTCCCTTGTTATGGGTTAGCATCCAAATATCAGAGAGAACATTCTGCCTTTGATGTTTTGGAACTGGTTTATACATTTAGCATGATAGTCTCCAGATCCATCCATTTACCAGCAAATGCCATAATTTCATTCTTCTTTATTCCTTAGTAATATCCCACTGTGTATATATAGCACATTTTTCATTTTCTGTTCATCTGTTGTAGGGTACTTAGGTTGCTTTCATAACTTGGCTTTTGTGAATTGTGCTGCTGTAAACAGTTATGTGGCTTTGTCACTGTAGTGTGTGAATTTTAAATCCTTTAGGTATAAACTAAGGAGGAGAATAACTGTGTCAAATTCAAATAAGAAAAGAACATTCAAGGAATAATAAGGAATTCATTTTGGCTATAGGAGCAGCAAAGCAAATAAAGTTCAGGGTAAGTCAAAAAGTATGTTAAGGTCAGAGCATGAAAAATCTGTAATTGAAGATTCTGTAACAAGAATTATTGAAAGGCTACAAATACTAAATGATTATTGTTTAATTAATAAATAAATAAATTATAAGGCACAGTATTAAAAATAATATGGAATTTGGTAAGCATTACTAAAAATGTGGTACAATTCTCTACACTGAAGTCAAAGAATTTTTAAATTTCAGGGTATAATCCGAAGTCTAGACCTCTAAGGTACAACTGTTCACCTGTCCTTTTCCCATTCTTGGCATGAAAAACAATGGAAATTTTAATTTGTGAAGCTATACACACAACACAAAGGCATAGAAAAATAACAAATAAAGAAAGGGGACATAGCAGTATAAATGGAGAGAGAAAGGGGCTTTGCACAATAGTAGTGAGTTCTCCCTGAGCCTACTCTCTAGACACAAGTGCTGTATTTCTGAATGTCCATGGTAATTTCATCAACATCATTCACTTCAAAGAAAAGAGGTCCTATCACTTTGGGGTTCACATCAGTTTCTACCTTTCTGCTCTTCAGTCTGAGAAAACATGTTGTATCTCTCTATCTCTAGTTTTATTTAGCTTTCATAATGCCCACTATTGTACTTTTATTTAACTTAGATTTAGAGGGTCTTTTGCTACAAATGGTAAACATTAATTTTGTAAGAAAACCTGAATATATTAAGGCTTTTCAGCATTAGCTTTAAAAAAAAACTCACAATGTTTTGGTTAGAAATATATAGGTTAGAATAACTTTATATGAAAAGAGCCTCTTATTTGAAAATATGGAACTTTCCAAAGATAATCCAGTCATAAATGACAAGGGCACTTTAGATACCAGACAAAGATTCCTTTGTCTGTGAATGTTCAAGAAGACACTTGCTACCTATTGCGAATCCCTTACAGAGGGAGGAGATAATCACAATAAAATGGCTGCACTTTATTTATGTGTACTTATAAATTTCAGCTGCTCTGATGGTATAAATATTTTCTCATCAGATCATAGTGAAGATTGACGGACTTGTAGGTCATGTTCACAAGTACCAGAATGGAATCTCAGGGAAAGAAAGAGTTGGAATAAAGATGTCAGGGACATTAACAGTCGGAGGTCAAAACACAGAAAACTCTAAGAAAGCCGGCACATGAGTTTAAAATGTATAGAAGTGGCCAGGCCCTAGAACCATAGTGGCTGGAAAGGATGATAACCTGTTGAGACAGAATATTTTCTATAACTACCTGACTTAAATTTCACAACAGCTCTGTAAAAAAGATACTATGGAATTCATACTGCTTATCATCTAAACAATATTCAGAACCCACAAACTTATATATAAGTACATATTACTCTCACAATTATCACAAATTATCACATTTAATATTTATAGAGATTCAGTCATATCATAAGTGTATAAACATGAGGTTGGACTCTCAGCTCATCCCCTGCTTTCTGATGTAGTTTTAAAATGCCACAGATTTCTCATGGCGTTTTTCATCTCTGCATTCCTCAGTGTGTAGATGAGTGGGTTGAGGAAGGGTGAGCCTATGGTATAAAAGACTGTCACCATCTTGTCCATGGGGAACGTGGTTGGGGGGCGTGTATATATGAATATACAGGGACCAAAGAACAATACAACAACAATGATGTGAGACGTGCAAGTGGATAGTGCTTTTTTCCTCCCTTCTGCACTGTGATTTCTCAGAGAATGCAGGATGACAATGTATAAGATGGTTAAAATTGTTAAACTGACTAAGCAAATTACCCCACTGTTAGTCACCAACAGCAGATTCAGCAAGTAAGTGTCCGTGCAGGCGATTTTAAACAAGGGCTGCAGATCACAGCAGTAATGGTCAATCAAGTTGGGTCCACAGAAGGGCAATCTCAAGGCCAGGATAATCTGAGCAATGGAATGCATAAAGGACCCTATCCATGCAAGGACAATCAAGATGAGACAGACCTGCCTCCTCATGATCCTTGGGTAATGCAAAGGCTTACAGATGGCCACATAGCGATCAGCGGCCATGAGGATGAGGACAAAGATCTCCATGCAGCCAAATAAGTGTAGTGCAAAGATTTGTGTCATGCACTCATTGTAGGATATGACTTTCTTTGTAGAGAGAGCATCCACAATGAGTTTAGGGGCTGTGGATGTTGAATAGCAGGAATCAGCAAAGGACAGATAAAATAAGAAATAATACATGGGGCTTTCAAGTGTCCTGCTGGATTTGATGGTCACAATAACAAGTGTATTCCCCACTACAGTTCCCACATAAAAAATTAAGAAGATTAAAAACACCATTTTCTTCCTCAAAGGATCCTGGGTCAATCCTAGCATTATGAACTCAGTTACATTACTATTTTGCCACATGGTTTCATTTGGTGTGGGGATATCTCAGGTTTGAAACAATCTGCAAAGAAGAAAAGAAAAATTATAAAATAAATACTAAATTTGAAGTAGAACACATATTCTTTGTCACTAAACTACAACTTTACAAGAGGGGCTTTCAGTGAGAACTCCCAATAGGTTCCAATCACTTTTCATTCTGGGTATTTTTTTTCTGGATAACATGAATTTTCTAGAAACTATCTTACTGCATTTACCAGATTGGATATGACAATGATTAAATAAGACTTAGAAAATATAATAAAAATGCAAATGCTTCATCAAGCAAATTACACATTACTTTAGGGTACTTGGTGTGTGAGTAGATAGCTTTCCAAACTGATGAATATGTTCCATCAGTCCTCAGGAAGGAGCTATCAACAGTAGGTTGATGCACTGAAAATCTCAAGAATGCTTAAGCTTGATTTATCTCAATAGACATTCACATAATTTGAAGCTGGTGCTTCTATTAAAATGTAGTTATAAAATAAGCATGTTGAACATTTCAGTAATGATTGTTTAAACATTTGAGATCACTTCTTTCACACAAACACACATATTCAATGAGTGAGAGAGAGGGAAAGAGAGAAACAGAAATAATGAATTTACTTCACTATGCTTTTAACCTTCTTGAATCTGTCAATGCAGTTTAGTATATTTATTGTTAAAATATTCTGAACATTAATAAATAACTTCCTAAACTTTTGAGATTGCCTTCATGAAGAGAAAAGAAGAGGAGAGAATAGAAGAGGAGAAAAGAGAAATGAAAATAATAAAAATATTAAGCAAAATTTTGTGAATGAACAAGAGAGTTGATCCAGTCCAACAAGAGTTAGTTAAATCTGTTGTTTAACTAAGTCAATCTCTCTTTACCTCTTGAAATGTCTTATGTCCAAATTCAGCATCTACAATTTTTTATAACATTATGTTATATATACTTAAATTCTTTTTTTATTCTTTATGTTTCTGAATATTTAAATATATTTTTTAGACCCTAGGAGACACATTAAAATAAAGGAAAAAGAGGAAAACATACATCAATAAGAGTATTTTTCCAAATTTCAGGTTCATGACTAAGGATTTTCAGAAATGTTAGCAGTAAATGCTCCAAGTTACAGCTGAAACTTGCAATAGAATTACAACTGATATTATCAGGTATTCCATTTCCTGACTTCAAGGGAGAAAATATAGAAATAAAGTGATCATTTGTTTGTTTTGACTGTACAAAATACAGGATTAAATTTTTCTATGAACCTTGTCACATATGTTCTCCAAATAATGGCACAGTCAAAAACAAAAGTTAACTATGAAGTGAATAAAATATGTGTAAAAATCTCTTGACTTAAGAAAGCATATTTGCTTCAAATTTAAGTGGATTTCACAGGTCAACTTAAAAAAAAAGAACACATACAGAATTGACAAAGTGCCAATTTTAAAAGACACCCTTTTCTTATTAGAAAGAATCATAAAGAGGTTTGATTTTTATTGAAAAGTAAGTTCAAATTAAAATTCCAAAGAAATATCTTTTCAGTTCTCGAACTAAAACTGTGGTTTTTTAAATAAATATCTTTTAATAAATAGTTAATGAGAAAGATGTGGAAAACAGTAACTCTAAATATTCTTGGTAGGTATTTAAATGGGCACAATCTCTTAGGGGGTAATTTTCTACATTCATAAATAATAGTATTTATAATAAATACTAAAATATATTTCTTATAGAACTATATAGCCACTCATGGTCACAAAGAGCTTCCTAACAGCCCTTTCCCTGGAGGTGAAAGATAGATAACAATTTAGTGCCCATATCAGCCTCCGTGAGATTGAATGAATCAGGAATGGTATTTTTATGCAAACATTAAAAAATTATACACACACATACACACATACACACACGGGCCTTTAAAATATATTCTAAATTAATATTTACAAAATCTAGAGCAGTTCTGGGGAAGGAGGTTGACTTTTTCAACATCAGAAGGATTTGCTTATAAGGCACATTCACTAAAAATGTTATTTCTGTAGTTGTACCACAGGCAAAGACAGCATATGATAAGACTCCAAGTTTTTAAAAATATTAAAACCCATATATTGTGTTCCAAATATGCATTTCCAATGAGACATTGTAATACAATCATTAAATAAACTTTTGATATGATCATAAATATAAAAAGAAAAGAAATAGATGTGTATGCTTTAGATGGTAAGATTTTTGTTCACATCAGGCGATTACAAAGTGTTCATAGTCTCAGAGTTCAAGAGGAGATTGTATTTTTGGCATCAGAGATTGGAGGAAGACCAAATTTTAAAAAGTATTCACTGTGGTAAAATTTGAAAATGTGTCATATTCTTTTTTTATTAAGCCTTAATAGTTATACATAGTAGTTGAGTTCATCACAACATATTCATACATACATGAAAATCGATTTCACTTCATGATCCCCCTTTTCCCTCCCTCTTTTCCTTCAAGTATTCTGTCCCCTCTATTCTCTTTTCTCTCCTCTGACTTCTTTTTGCTCATCTATTAATTTACATTTGATTGGTTCTTTATGTTATCCTATTCTTCCCTCCCCCTTTCCTTTATTTTATTCTGGCTTCTGCATATGAGAGAAGACATTTGACCTTTGAGTTTCTGAGTTTGGCTAATTTCACTTAGCATGAGAGTCTCCACATTCACCTGAAAATGTTTTATATTCTTGATGCATAAAAAATAAAGTTCTAAAAACCCTTACCTTAGTAGAAGTTCTATTCACACTGTCACATAATTTTGCCTTAACAATTATGTTCTGGTGTAGGCAGGAGGCACTGTGGTATTCCCAAGGTAGGACTGTGATCCAGAGTCTTGATTGAGATGGTGAGTCACTTGCATGGGTATCTTAGAAATCCAGTGCTCTTTGATCACAGTAAACACCACAACATTACTATACCTACAGGTTTGCTTGCCTTCATGAGATTTTCTGCATGCACTCAAACAGAAGTGAATATCAAATAAAAAACTAACACTTGTAAATTTCATAGATAGATAAGAAAGATGTAAATTAGAATGAAGCAACATAAGGAAGAGGACTTTATCTGTTCCTCATATCTATATTTCTTATAGATATAATGCAGTGGCATTCCATACTCTTCTATGCTCAATGGCCAGGAGGAGAAGGGATGCTTGCCTTCTACTGTATCCATTGCAACATCATCACCACTGGGAACCCTGAAATATTTTCCTGGAACACAGCAATAGTTACTGTTTTCATTTGCTTCTCATCTCCCTGTCTACCAATATTCCTTACCCACAGAGTAGTGCCCATGTCCATCAGAAACTGCTGTGCATGCTTTCTATTTCCATTTTCTTTCCTTGGATTGTAGTGCTTTCAGAGAAGCCTCCAGAATTTCTATCTTCCACAAGTGCCTACCATGCCTTAGATACTGGCTGTGGCATTGATTTTACTAATTTCCAGCAACTATCAAATATGATTAAATTACTTCCAAGTGCAATTCTTCCTTGCTTTGCTTACTCTTTTATAAGTTAAGTATGTTCAGTTGTTTTTTTTCCTTCCCAAGGCAATTTTGGAGTCATGTATTTAAATGAGAATAAAAAATGCTTCTCTAATTCTGTCTGAAGCAGATTCACTTTAAATTTGCAACTTGAAGCTTTTATTCACTTCTACATTTTAGAAGACAGGCTAAATCAGTCCCAGATTCACCCATTTCCTTAAATCCATGATCACACAGAATTCTGGCTGTGAAGGCTTCTCTTTTGTCATCCTGGGAGGAGTATTTATATACAAATGATGCTAAACACAGGAATCTGGAGAAGGGTTGTTCTCTAAAGGGTCCCTTCCTTCCCAATTAAGAAACACAAATAAGTTGTGATAATGAATTAACCATCCATTTGTCTTATTGTGGGAAAAAGAGGTGGCCTATTGTATTTAAATGTGCCAAAATGTGCCATTGTTTAAAAGAATAAGAAACAATAACCATCTAGAGTATTGGTATTATTTTTAGTAACATTCTCCAACAGAAATATTAGGAGTTCTTGAGGTAATGGCTGATTTTTGGTCTGGAGCACAAATTATATGATCAATTGAGCATCATGTAATGGCAGAAAGTAGGGAATTCTAAAATGCACATACTTTAATAAGCATATGTGACAGAGAAATTGGAGTCAACCGATAGAAGCCATCATAGTCAAAGCTATAAATAATTTGGACATCAAAATAAATAATACAATATTGAAATATATCTTAAAGTATAAAATGAATACCAATGAGTTCCTAAATATGTAATATAATGAGTAACTAAATAAAGGAGCATAAAATATCTCACATGAAAAAAATTCCAAATGATTTTTCAAATTTGACTACTTTAAGGTACTTCATATAAATGGAATAATTTAGTATTAAACTTTTTGTGCATGGCTAATATTTCTTAACACAGTGTCCTCAAGCTTCATCCATCTTGTAGCAAGTATTGGAACATTCTTTTAATACTGGATAATATTCTATGGTATGTATGTATCACATTTTAAAAATCTGTTCTTTAGTTGTAGATCACTTGAATTGCTTATGTGTTTTGGATATTAAGGTTGCCATATACATGAGTGCACATCTATTAAAGTCCATGAGTTCAATTGTTTTGTGTTTGTGCACAAAAATAGAATTGGATCATCTAGTCGTTAATTTTTAAGGAGCAAATCTCATAGAAGTCAAACATTTTATAGTCCCATAAATAGAACACAAGTGTTCTTATTTTTATATCTTTTCCAATTTTTTTCTTTCTCTTTCTTTTCTTTTTGTTAATAATAGCCATCTGAAAGGTTCGAGGTTCTTTTTCTCTGTGCTTTCAATTTATGTTTCCCTATGAGTAGTAATGTTGACAGCCATTTCTTTTGCTTATTCGCCATTTATTTATCTTCTTTGGAGAAATGCCCATTGAGTACATTGCTTATTTTTAAAAATTGGAGAAATATATACCACTACATTTGATGATGAAGTAGTGAGTGCTATGCAGGCTCAACTTTGTTTTTGTGAGCAAGATAATATCATGTTGGACAGGTCAGTGTGCATGGTCATTTGGTGGCTAATGTGTTTGGGATTTTGAATGTCCCTCAGAAACCTATGTGTTAGGGGCTTGGTCCTCAGGGTGGTGCTGGGACCCTTGAGAAGCAAGTCCTTGATGGGTTTTTCTTTCATTGGTGGTGAGCCTCTGAAGAGAACTGTGGGACCTCATGCTCTTTCTTGTATTCTTGCCTCCTGGATATGATCAACATAGAGGGGCCCCATTGTTCTTTTGGTCTTAGATGATCCTGGAGGGCAATGGCCAAAATATTGACAGTTTTATTAAGACCTATTATCCGACCCACATCTCATGGGGGCAGTGGGAATGGGATTCCCCTTGGTGGAATGGGCTGGCTGAGAAATAAAAGCTAAGAGAAATACAATAGCAAAAATCACAGAACACAGAAAGTAGTTTCAAAAGTGGGGGAAGGATGGGCAAGCTGATCAGATGGATGGAGCTTCTGGCAAAATGGTGCCCACATCTGCTTTATTTATATTGGGAGACATCAAGGGCCTTCCATAGAATGTTCTTCTCCAAAAAAGGTTAAAGTTGGGCTGTTCTGTTCCTAATGGGTTACACCCATCTCTGGATCTACTATTAGGAACCTTCCTAGGAGAGCAGAGGGAAGGGCCATGTGCATTGGGCAATATATGTGAGAGCTACAGAAAGTTCCCAATGCCAGGCCTCTCTCTCTCTGGCTTCCAGGCCAAGAGAAGATCCTCCTGTATTTCACAGATGGCTTCTTATACTTTCATTTTTCTTGTTTTTGTCCTCCAAGTCTTAGTTGTTGAACACTCAGAAAACCAGTTTCACCAGTTTTGAAATAGGCGTGGTGCATTTTAACTTTTATAATATTACAGTTACCCTTTCCATTTGTTTGGGGTCAATATTAGTATTGGGAGTCAGTGTTATATCTTCCCTTTACTTTATAACTTAATGTCTTAAATGACCTCAAAATTAATCTTTTGAAGTCCACTGGTAATGGGAGGGAAAACATTTTTATAGGAAACAGAGAGGAATTTTTCACTTGCAAAAACTTGTGTTTCTCTCTCCTCCATCTTCTGAATTTCCTCAAACACTTGGTGGTGGAAGTCAGAACCTGAATCATACCTATGATTCTTCTCTTTCTAATCTTCCTCATGATCAGTTCTGTTGTCTAAAACTTTTAAAAAATTGGGGAACAATTCGTCTTTCTCCACGTCAGATTGTGTTCTATAGATACAGAACTTGAGCTGAAGATGTTTTAACAAATGACAAATGGAAATCAAGAAAGCCAATATGGTAGGGGGAAGAAAGCATGCAGTCTCAAGTGAAGTCTGGCTTTGATTTTGGCCTCAGCAGCTCTAGAATACTCCCTGTTAACTGCACAACATGGTCTGCATGGAGGCAAGGGGACACAAACTTTTTGTACTCTTATAATAGTCTTTTGCTTTCCTCTCTATTCACAAAACAAGAATCTAACTACATTACTTGCTAGATTTAAAATGCTACCAAAATTTGACCCACGGACCTTACCATTAAGGTTTAACAGTATTATGAAAACTTTCTTGATCTTGCCTTTTTCTATCTTTTGAGTCTTGGAAGTTACAATGTACCTTTATTTCAGGTTAGTATGCAGTTTTTCTGCATAGTTTTTTTGTTTTTTTTTGGTAACCTCTGTATCTAGTACCTGTCCTAGGAATGATTTAGCCTTGCATCTTGCCTATTTACTTACTGATCCTACTCTCTCCCTTGGATATGATTTTTAATGTTTTCCCATTTAGGAATCTTTCTTGACCCATGCCTCACTACCCTTTTGTATGGTTTCATAGCACCCTGTCTATCTTACCAATGTTAATGCTCTGCAGTAATTTTCTACTCCTTTCTGGGAGTCTCTTTGTAGATTTTAAATGTGTAAAGAAAGAAGCTATTTGTACTTTATGCCACATCAGAAAACCACCAAAATATATTCCTTGGGCACAAAATTTTGTTTATTAATGAGTGAAGGAAGAATTGTCTGAAAAGTATTTAATTCTGTAATTGCTCTGTGTGTGGGAAGATCTACATATTATTAGAAATGACTTTTAATGAAATGTAATATTGAAATAATTACATTATAAGTTATTACATAATAAATTATTACATAATTGCATAATGAAATATAACCACAAAGTAACTGGAAAAGGATAAACAGCCCTCATTTGTAGAATAATGATGTCTTACTGAGGGAATATCAAGGCAAACACTTTCTCATATATTGTGAAATTCAATTCCATAATCTTTCCCATTCCTCAGTTTAAGTGAGAGTTAAACAAATTTTTGTTTTATATAAAGGGCAATCAAGAATTCTCTACAGAATTCTCATCTGAAGGATATAAAGGTAGAAAAAATTCCCATAATCCCTTGTAATCATTTTAGTGTATGTTTTATTGAATTCATTTTTTTGATTTATACTGTATTTATTTATTTATTTAATATGTAATCAGGTACTAAACATTGTGTTGCTTATGGAAAATATTGGTAGCTAGCAGGCAAGTACTTTATGGATTATAACTGCTCTTTTAGTAAACAGGAATTCCAGAGTGACATTCAAAAACTCTTTTATTTAAGTCATCACTCTTTCTGATGGGCTATCAGCTTGCAGTGACCTGAGCAAATAATCTAGTTCAAAAGGCTAAAAGGAAATATAGAAATATGGTTGAACCTTTCTCACCACTTGTAGGGTAAATGAATTGCCATTGTTTTTTGCCCTGGAGTTCTTAGACACCAAAATCTTACTAGAAATGTATGACCATCCATTTTGACATACAAAAATAATAATAAATAATAATAAAATGGCTTGATTTTTAGTTATAGATAGTCAAAGAGCATTATAATAGGGTAGGTACAGTTCTTTTCTCAAAAATTGTAACCAGTAAAATTATATGAACATTTTCTCATCGTTACTGAAAATGTATGATAGCAATTAAGCATATGGTCCAGAAAATTGATAATATTCTGGTTACTGGACCATCAGTACACCACTTCTTATAACTCCCTATTTCTGTCAGGTAACTATATGGTAATGGTAGTGTTTACCTGATTTAGAGTTATAGACATTAATGATCAATACCAGTATTTTTAATATCCTTAATTTTTATTAGAAGGAAAAACTATAAATTCATATAAATGGATAAAGCTAGGAAAATCAGGACCAGATTTTGTAGAAACTTACAATGAGTAGATTGTCTTGGGTTAGGTAGTCTCCAATCTTTAGCCTACTAATTCTTCTTTCAATGAAGAGTTTATAAATAACAGTCTTTTTTTCATCCAATCATAATCTGCTGAGATATTCCAAAATTTTCATTTATCCTTTCCTCACTTAAATCAATGTTGGAATTCAGGCAAATTCATTTATCAAGCAATTTCCTACTAAACAATTTTCTCATAGCATCTTTCATCTGAACATTTCTCAAAGTGTAGATCACAGGATTTAACATGGGAGTTATCATGGTATAGAATACAGCAACTGCTTTATCAATGGGTAAATTAGCAGGAGGTCTCATGTACACAAATATGCAGGGAACAAAGAACAGGACAACCACCGTGATGTGGGAGACACAGGTGGACAAGGCCTTGCGCCTACCCTCCAGGCTGTGGGTCCTCAGGGAGTGCAGGATGACCACATAGGAGACCAGCAGGAGGAGGAAGTTTAACAGGCAGATGAATCCACTATTGGCAGCAACAAAGAGCCCCAGAGTGTGGGTGTCAGTGCAGGCCAGATTGAGCAAAGGGTTCAGATCACACATAAAGTGATCAATGACATTAGGGCCACAGAAGGGTAGTGGTAAGATGAAGAGGAGCTGAATGATTGCATGGAGAAAGCCTCCCATCCAGGACACTCCCACTAGCAGGGCACACACTCTCCAGTTCATGATGGTTGTATAGTGCAAGGGCTTGCAGATGGCCACGTAGCGGTCATAGGCCATCACTGTCAGCAGAATGACCTCTACACCTCCAAAGAAATGTTCCCCAAAGACTTGTGCCATGCATCCTTTGAAAAGGATGGTCTTCTTTTCATGGAGTGCATCTCTAATCAGTTTAGGATTGTTGACAGAGGCATAGCAGGCATCGATAAAGGAGAGATAGGCCAGGAAAAAGTACATGGGGGATCCCAACAATGAGCTGCTAGTGATGGTTATCAAAATGAGCAAATTTCCTACTATAGAGATAATGTAGATGAGCAAAAATGCAGCAAATACTATTTTCTGCATCTTTGGGTTTTGTGTAAGTCCCAGAAGAACAAATTCTGTCACATTGTTTGTAGTCTCCATGTACTTCATGTGGATGCTTGTTACAGTACCTGAAAAAGGTGATACAACTTGGGATTTATTCAGATTTTCCATCCTAATAAATATTAAATACCTGGATGCCACTGAGATGTGAAATCTTATGACATTTGTATGTTTTTTGTGGTTGCATTTATTTATTTTTTGAGATGTATCAAAGGGTTCTGAATTCTTGAAGATTACTCAAATTGCCTCCTGAGTGACTATTAGAAAAACAGAATATAGATAAAGGCTTTTGTATAGATAAGGATTGGCACCTGAGTACACTAACATATCTGGGATGACTTTGAGCCTGAAGAGAAATAATGGATTTCATACACCAGTAGCAACTTAGCCCAAAAAAGGAGGTAAAAGTTGAATCTACTGGATATTCATATACAGGTGAAAAATTGTGCCCTTTATTATTAAGAAATGGAAAATTACAAAAAAAGAATAGAGAATGAGTAAAAGGATGACAAGGAGTTTGATTAAGGTAAACTTTGAATACTAATCTCATATAGGTCTTCCTGTGTCCTGGATGAAGCTGAGTCAGGTTCAGTACAGTGAAGCCAGAGGCAAGAGCCACAGGTATTAGAGTATTATAACATTTGATATAAATATGAGGGAAATGTAATGAAATACAAATTAGATAGTATAAAATAACCTATAATGTGTGTTTACAAAATTCAAGAACTTAAATTATATTTGATAATAAAATATTTTAATGTGAATTATGTGTGTTCCAAGGTACCAAGTACTCCACACATGATTCATTTTAATAATTAGAATAACCTTGGTGGTCAAAATTATTTGTACATTTAACAGGTAAGGAAATGATGTCAGAGACTAATGTTTGCTGTTTACAAGCAAAGAAATATTATATAAAGCTTTCTGAACATTTCATGTATTTTAAGCAATTTTATAGATTCTTGTTGCAGATTCTCTTTTTTGGGGTGCATTTCCTTCCACTTTGCATACCTAAATCATCATCTGTAAACTGAGAATAACAATACCACCTCATCATTTGTTAAGAGAATTGATTGTTATATTATTGTATCCACCACAGTGCTGGGGATACATACAGGAACTTTCATCCACTTTTATAACTGCATGCACTCAGCAGAGAAGCAGAACTTTTGACCCTACAACAATCTGAGTAGAAATGCTTTCCAAAATTTCTTTTAAAGAAGCCAGAGAGACTTACCAGTATTATCCACAGTATTTGATATCAGAAAGAGTCCAACTTGCCTGTGCTTGGACTAACAAGTGATGATTTGTGTCCATTAATATTCATATTTAGGTCATTTTTGGGTGTGAGATATACTAAATTTTGTTTTCATCTTCAAGATTAATCTTGGTTATTAATTGATATGTCTCTTCCCTAAATAATGGTTCCTAGTGCTAGACAGCTTGGTTTTAGAAAGTACTTCATCTCTCTGAGTCTCAAATTGTTCAATGTTGGATTAGATTCATGACATATTTCAAAAGTGTTTTGAAAATTTGGGTTAAGAATCAGATTCTCTGTGACAGTATTTGACAAAGTTAGAAAAGTAATGTTAACCATATATGAAACACAACAATATTTAATAACCCTCACCACTTTTAAAAACCTACCTTTGCAATTCTAGATGATTTTTGTGGCATTACGATGTGTTCAGGCACAAATCCATCTTCAAATTAGTTCCTCTTGCAATAAGCAGAGTATATATGAAAGATAAAATGGAGTTGAGAAAAAACCACTCAGATAATTCAATATCAAATCAACCATTTTTAAGGCTGTGTCTTTATAAGTTTAAATCTTTCCATCTTACATAAGGCTAAAGTGGTTTCACCGAAATCCTGAGACTTGAATTTAGAATGGATTCACTGGATTCACTATTATGGAGAAATGATCCTCATTACCTGGTTCTGGCTCATCAGGGCAGGATGTAGGAAATGCAGAGGTAAAGCTTTTTAGTGGCTCATTCCACTCACAAGGATTCTTGCTGTGGAGACATTAATGACAAGAAGGAAAAACTCAGGTACCTTCCCATCCTCTCCCAGGAATTAGTTATCCCCTTGTTGGAGAAGCTTTGTGTTTAGAAGTGGGTGTCCTGGCAGTGTGTTTGTGTGTTACCCACTCTAGAGTACAGATCGCATTCCCTCCACTTAGAACATAAACAAGTGGGAGTTGCCTTTCCCTTTCTGAACCTGAGTTGCTAGGAGAGCTGAATACCAGGTAAATAGCACGGTGGCCAAGGTCCAGCCTGGGGACCAGTGGTGCAGGGTCCCTGATGATGCCTGTCACAGAGGGGCTTCGTTCTTCTGATCATTTTAAAAACATTTCTGAAAACTCCTTGTGATTGCTTGAGAGCTAAAGCAGTGAAGACAGAGCTTTACTGAGACACATTTTAAGCAGATAACTGCAAAACTGCTTTTCCTAATTTCCATAGTATTTTGGAAATAGAATCCTCAGAAGGCTCTAAATTACTTATCCCTGATCTCATGGTGCGGGCAGTGTAGATTAACAGGCAGCATGACAAATGTGGAAAGAGATCTAAAACACAAGAAGAGAGTTTCAATCTTTCCATATTTTGTCACTTGGCATTGTTTATTTTTTCCCATTCTGTATCCAGGTGTCAGTTGTTTTGGTTTTAAATTGAAATTTCCTGATGACTGACTATGAAGATTTTTTTCATATTCTTATCTTCTGTTAATGATAATATTTTGTAAAATTTTTATTTACATCTTTGCATAAGTTAAAAGTAATTGTTCTTGATTTCTTCCTATTTAGTTATAAGTGCTCAGCATTTTACAATGCAGGTCTTTGTCATGTCTATAATGTGTGAACACCCAACACACAATTTACTCAAAGCCTGTGAATTCTTTTATCATTTCTCAAATAACAGTTGTTTGGGGTATAATTTACATACAGAAAAAATTTACACATATAATATATAAAAACCACTCTCTGCATTGGAGTTAGACTCTTACAGATTTAATATATGGATGTTGACATGTCACATTTGTCCTTCTGTGCCAGACCTTTTTTTTTTTTAATTTTCTAAACATATTATCTTCTGGGTTCATCCATTTTGTTGCAAATGAAAGGATTTTTTTTAAGCCAGAATAATGTTCTGTTATATACATATGTCAGATATTCTTTATGTAATGATCTATCAATGGACATTTAAGTTTCTTCCATATTTGGCTATTGTGAACAACATATAATGGTCTCAAGAATGCACATATGACTTGGATACACTGTTTTAATTCCTTTGAATAAATACCGAGAAATAGCATTGCTAGATTATATGTAGTTCTATTTTTTTTAATATTATAAAGGAATGTTCAAGTGTTTTCCACAGACAGAGCCAATATTTAATTCACACCAACTATGACAAGTTTTTCCTTTTCCCTATATCATTGCCTCTATTTGTTTTGTTGAGTTTTGGTTTATTTTTATAATTTGCATCCTACTGGGTTATGTTCATATTTTGCTTTGATTTGATTTTTCACTTTTCCTGATGATTATAAAAATATTGACTTTGGGTTCCTTTTTATATAGCTGTTGGCCATTGGTATTCTTTGGACAAATGTCCATTCAAGGTCTTGTACATTTAATTTTTATTTATTTAATTTTCTTTTATGTTAAACTGATAAATAAAAATGATAAAATATACACATTAGTGGGCTACTCTCATGTTTCAATACATATTTCATATTTCATAATGTTTCCACTAGGTATTTAACTTGATATAAATACCTGAGGCTGGGATCCCAGCCTCTTTCACTTCCTTCTTTACTTCCTGGCCATGTTCTAAGCAGTTGTTTCTATGCCATAAGTATTTCTTATGGTGTACTGCCTCACCACAGGACTAAAGTAATGCAACCAACTGAAAATGGAATGGAATCTACAAACTCGGAGCCAAAACTTATCTTTCCTCTATATACATTGGTTATATCAGATATTGTAATATAGAGATGAAAAGGAGAACCAGGCCAAGAACTGTATGGAAATAGGTAACAGCTACCTATGAAGGATAGCATGAATCTCCCTAAAAATCCTGAGGACTTACATTGAAATTCACCTATTGGTGCCATCTATACCATAGGCATTTTACATACAATTGGATCATGTGATTAATATGACCTATGTGGCAGAACTCTGCCATTTGTTGTATAGACTTCTCTTCTTCTGGGCCCCCCTCAAAACTAGAATTTTGCGGGACATCTAAATGAGAAATATGTTGTCTCTAAAATCCAAGTGATCGACTAGGAATCATACCTCTTTTTTTCCTTGTAACAGGGGCCAGATGCATCAACTTATCATTCCATTCACCTTAGAAGGGATATCTGGACATACCTCACACCACTGAATTCCTAGATATTGAACAGAGGTAGAAAGTAAACAAATTTTATTCAGAATTATTTATCTCTCTCACTCCAATGTATTAACAATAAGTCTAGAGTAGTTGCTTCTTCTCATCTATTGATAGTTCCAATAATCGCAAACTAATCAATGTACAGGCCATAATGTTCTTGAGGAAGAACAAGTCAACAAGATACCTGTGAAAGAAGTTATAACATGGTTCTGGAACACTGGCATACACCTGAAGTTAGCCACATTTACCTTTTTAGCTGAAACCAAACTGGTCCTTTATGGGAGAATAAGGAAAAAAAGATTTCCCCAAACCATTAGCTCCATAGCAGGTACCAGTGGGATGTGTTAATTTGTTCAAGCAATGAAGGCACATCATGTATAGCAGTTGTAACTGGAGCCTCCACCTGATTAAGCTTATGGTAATGGACTATCATTTTCTCATAAACTTCTGTTGTTTGCACAGGCAAAATAGTTGAGTTGAATGAATATGTGGTAAGAATCACTGGACCATCTTTCAAGTCTTGATGGTGCCGGCAATCTCTGAAATCCTTCCAGAAATGTAGTAGTACTATTTATCAAGCAAAATGCAATCCTGCTTTTGGTCATCTGTTTTCTTATATAGAGGAAGCTCTACCAGCTTCCA